CACAGTGCAACAGGACAGGAAGTTGGGGGGACCCCCCTACAGGAGACAACCAGAGAACAGCTGAGATTGACTGACATTACAGACCAAATGGGTATCTGTAGGTCAGCATGGCCTCAGAAGCACCCAGCACCAAGCTAACGGTATAAAGATGCCTGGTCCTGCGTCTGCTGCTTAACAGGCTGTGTAAAGTTTAAAGCATAATCACAGCGTGGACATGAAGCTCCTGATGGACGTATTAAAAATCTCAGAAAGGCCAGAGGCCTCCCAGCAGCATCTAACACAAATAAGGTACCTGTCTGAGGAAGCCTATGTAGCAGAAGCGCCCAGCCAGCCGGGAGATCTGCGTACCAGGGACGCAAAGAGTCTCTGAAGTCTTAAAAGGACACGCCGTAACTTTCCTCGCGATAACGGAGCCAGTGAAGCCGAGCCACGCAGGCCTGTGTCAGAGGTGCGGCGCACAGCAGGGCGGAGGTCGGCCGTCCCGAGCAGAGGATCTGGACCCTCCACACCCTCTAAGCCCGGTCACTACCCTTCGGTAACGTCGCCGAGCACTAAGTCACGGCAGGTAAATGCCACACCATCTCAAGCAACTATTTATTTCATTTGGATCAAAAAAACTATTTCGCTCACCTTGATCCCTGCTGCCCTCCTTCTTCCTGCTTTTCCTGCTGTTTCCTCCTCTGGCCGCAGCAAACGGAGCGCGGAGCGCGCACCTACAGGGAGGTGGCACAGGGGGCGGGGCCGCCGTATTACCCAGTCAATACGCGCACCTACCGAGGGTGGCGAAGCTACCGTATTACTCTGTCAATACGCGTAACTTAGTGTCTACGTACTTGTAAGTTTTTGCTTGGAAACCCATCGACATTTATTTATTTAGATGTCTGTTTATTTGTTTATTTTAACGTTTTAATAATTTGCGCACATTTATAACGTTAAAGCACACGATGCAAACCACATACGTAAATTACGCACTAACTTGACATCTATCGCTGAGGCTGGCCCTGTCACGAAATGCGGGACGAAGGACTAGAAGGCGAGCGTTGGGCAAAAAGGGGGTTTTGGGAGCAGGGAAACAAACGAGACCGAGAGGGGTCAAAACAAGAAGGCTAGTATAGGGAAGGACACATGCAGGCAAGAGGAGGAACGTGAATAACCGAACTAGGGGGTGACGAGACAAACACACATACAAGCACTTAAGAGGGACAACAAGAGTGGCTCATCAGGACCACGTTAGGAAGGAGGCAGGACGTAGCAGGCTCGTCCTAGGAATGGGAATTTCAGGCAGAATTACTAGTCGAATTTTGCCGACCATTATTCCAATAATATTCGATTAAGCCAGCTCCCACCACACAGAGTAACGTGTATGGAATGTGGATATATATATATACACTCACCTAAAGGATTATTAGGAACACCTGTTCAATTTCTCATTAATGCAATTATCTAATCAACCAATCACATGGCAGTTGCTTCAATGCATTTAGGGGTGTGGTCCTGGTCAAGACAAT